GGGGGGGAGGGGGGGCTGCTTCTCAGCCTGCAGGCCCCAGGGACGGGGCACGGGGGATGAGCTCCCTGCCTCTATCCAGCCAGGAAAGCGGGGCTATGGGCATGAGTCTACCTGTGGTGTGGGACAGCCTCCCCCCCCACACACACACACACACACACCTATCAGGGCAGGGCTTATGTGACCCTCAGGCTACTGTAGGCAGGTGCCTGCCCCACATGCCCGGCTCCCAGCAGAAGGGCAGGGGCACCAATGCGGGGTCACTAGTCACATCCTCAGGCTTCAGCTGGGTTGATGGGGGCGGGGGGGCAGGACTCTGGCTGGCCCCATGGTGGAGTAGCCCAACAGGGCCTATGTCTGTGCAGCGTCTGGTGCCATGGGGCCTCCCCCCCAGTTCTGTCAGTGCCTAGTGCGCCGGTGTGGCACATCACTCCCCCACTAGGGGGCATCACTCTCCTCACTGGCTCCCCAGCCCTTCGCGCTCCCCGCCTGCCCCCAATCCACTTGGCTCCCTGCACTGGCCCGCCTGCCCCATGCCCCCACGCTGCTCCGCTGGCTTGGCAGGGCGTTTGCGCTGTCAGCACCGGGGCCGGGGCCTGTGGGAGCAGCAGGACAGCAGCCCAAGGACCAGCCCCCGCCCCTGCGCCAGGCATCCCAGCCTACGTATGGCTCATTGCTACCGAGGGGGTCTGACTGCTGAGCCTGCAGCTCTGCACCCAGCTCGGTGCTACCACCGGTGGTACCATCACTGGCCTAGATCCCTGCAGCCCTCGGCATGGGACGTTAGCCTCGTGTGGGTCTGTCGCAGCCCTCGCTGCCCCCTGGGGCTCTCATCACCCCTCCAGTCCAGTTAGGGCGACCAATCCAGATCTAGCTGCGCTGGGACCTCAGGGGAGCCGTTTCCAACACCGTGTTGTGCCCCAGCTAGGCACAGCAGCAGTGCCCACAAGCAGTGGGATACCCCCTGCCAGCCCAGCCGCGGGAGCCCGGGCTGTGCCAGTGCCTGGTATGTGGCCACCGCGGTCGGGCAGCGATGCAGCCGCAAGCAAAGCTGGCAGACAGAGGCTGTGGCTCTGGGCAGTGAGGCTCCGCAGGTGGGAACCAGGCTGGAGATGGTACTAAAGGCCAGCTTCCCCCAGCCATTAGGCCATGCGCGGCAGGTGGCAGAGGGGGTCTGGAGGCGGCCTACAGGGTGGCTTTGGGGCTCCCTCTGGCGGCCGGGGGGCCGGGGAGGGGTGCTGCTATGGCAGAGGGCAGGGCGGTGTTTGCATGAGCTAATGATACCTGGCCAGACACGGCCGGCAGTGTTGGTGGGAGGAGACCTGAGGGGACCCTGGGCTGGGGCAGATGCAGGAAGGGGCTCCGAGCCCAGAAACTGGACCGTGCTGGGCTGAAACCAGGGGAGTCAGTGGAGTGGGGGAGATGACATGGTCAGGCCAGGAGCAAGGCTGGGTTTTGTGGATACTGGCGAGGCCCCAGGAGGACGCAACAGTCAAGCGTGGGAGGCGGACAGGGAGCTTTGGCTTGCTGGGCCGAAAGAGACAAGCAGCCTTGCAGAAAGCAACCAGGGCACCAGCCAACTGCGGGGGTGAGCAAGACCCATCCCCTGCTGTGCTGCAGCATGAAGACAGGCTACCAGCCTCGCTGCCCAATGGGGGCTGAGCCGTTCTGGCATGGTCCCTGAAGGAGGGCCAAGGGGAGGAAAGGAAGTTGTAAAGGCAGGCCAGAACTCCATTTGCTCATGTTAGCCTGGGGATGTGTGCACAGCGGGAACCCTCCTAGGAACAGATGGGAATGGGGAGTCAGCGAGAACCACTGCTGGTGACAAAAGGCCCAGCGGGAAATCACTGTTGCAACCTGCATTCTTTTCCTCAGCTGTTGCCAGGGGAGGAGGGTCGGCGGGAGAAAAACAGGCTACGACTGGACGTCCACATACTTCCAAAACAATTGTTGAATCTTTATTGACGTTCTGAATGCAATGACCTGTTTTTGACTCTTAAGGAAAATAAACATCTTTTAGAAACAGCTTGTTACACACAATCTTCAGTGTGAAGCAATATACTAATAAGTACACTAGTCTTAACATTTACAGTCTTCATATATATTATATATATGTATATGTATACATATATATACACTATATAATGAGGCAATATATAATACACACGATTTACCATTTTACAGTCATATGTACAAGATGCCACTAAAAATAGCCAGGATGTCAGGCAATGGTGCCAGGGACGCAGATAGTTTTTTTCCCATGGTCCGTGGCAAGCTTCTGAAACAACAGACATTTCTTGGCCAGCAAACATTGAGGGCGAGGTGAGTGGTGGTGAGATGGCTAGCCAAGCGTGGCAGCATGAAATGCGCACACTACTACCAACAGACAGGTTACAATGGGTGAATTGGCTTTGCTTGGGGAGGGGTCCAGATTCTTGTCTGGCGCAATGCAACAACTGCTTAGACTGTTGGGGATAGGCTGGGGGTTGTTGCTCACATCCAACCATGTGTGATTCCAACCCGAGTGTGATGTTAAACATCTATCATTTCTCTATCTATGTAAGTAGAACCTCAGCGTTACAAACGCGGCGGGAACCGAGGTTGTTCAGAACTCTGAAATGTTCGTAACTCAGAACAAAACGTTATGGTGGTTCTTTCAAATGTTTACAACGGAACAGTGACTGAAGAGAGCTTTGAACCTTTACTATGCAGAAGAAAAATGCTGCTTTCCTTTTAGTTTTGTAGTAGTTGACGTTTAACAGTCCTGGATTCGCTTTTTTTTTTGTTTTGTTTTTGGTCTCAGCTGCTGCCTGATTGTGTAATTCCGGTTCCAAATGAGGGTGTGGTTGCCTGGTCAGTTCATAACTCTGGTGTTCGTAACTCTGAGGTTCTACAGCAATTCATTTTCAGACGGAATCATTCTTTCTGGCGTCTGGCAGCATGGCCAATCTTCAGTAACGATCCCATCTAACACACTTGGACAAATACCAACCCAAACTGCCTCCGACCCCTTTAACCTGTGCGTGCGGCTCTAGCTCGTGTCTCTACGTTGCTGACTATCATGGATCTGATTTTGGAAATCTCCCGTAGGTCGTCTCATGGGTGTCAATGGGCCAACACACCCAAGGGCCGGGCAGGTCTAGGTCTGCGCTAGCAGGCTGTTTCCGTCCTGTTCAGCCCAATCCATTTACTATCCCTCCAGCCCCTGTGATGGAGGCAGCATTCCCGCAAGAACAAAGAATGGGCTGTGACATCATGGAGTGAATCAGCTAAGTGGCAAAGGGGCCAGGTCACAAGTGTCTCTGCAACCAGCAATGCTGGGGAACCAAAGACACGGAGTGCCTGTCTGCCGGTTTGATGGGGGGGAGTGTGCGTACGTAGGGAAAGGAGCTGGTAAATTCCGACAGTTCTAAATGGTTGCTGGCTGCTCTCCGAGGGCGATTCTAACGAGGGGCGCTGGAAGGTGGCCTGGTTAGGCATCTGTGAGTTCAGGACTCACTGGTTTTAAAAAAAGGATGGGAACAAAGCTAGAACTGCTTCCAGCCCCAGCTGCCTCCAGCTGGAGCCCAGTTAGCCAGCCCCAGGGGTCACCCAGCCCAGCAATGAGAGCGGGCACTGCAGACCCCATCCCCTCTCCCATCACATGGGCCTGTTTTTAGAGCCCGCTTTTAAGTGGGAGGTGATGCCAGCGGCTGTTTGGGCCGGCTCAGGCTACAGCTGCTCAGCGACTAAACTGTCTGCTCCGCATGGTGGCTGCCAGCTCATCCCAGGGTACGGCGAGGCAGCGCCCTTCGCCCATCCCAACTCCCACCAGCACCGGGGCACAAGGGGAGGCTGTTGAGCAGCACAGAGCAGATGAGCTACTGTCCTTGCGGAGGTGAAAAACGCTGGGGGGTCTGAGTGGCCCAGAAGTCCAGTTTCCAGCACATCGGTGAGATGGGAGATTGGCCCAGGTGTGACCCCCAGGGCAGGGTGCTGGGTGGGTGTAGGTGGCCTCTCAGCCGCGTACCGAGCCAGGCCAGCCCTGCGGAGAGGGTGAGATCTGACAAATCTCTGCCCAGCAGGGTGACTAGGACTAATGCCAAAATCCACATCTGCTCCTTAGAACCCAGCTGCCAGCCAGGCCCCTTGGTCACTCTGTGGTTCCTGGTTATGACAAGGATGCACTCTTATCTAGCCCAAGCAGCGGGGAAAGGGCAGCCGTAAAGCTCACCAGCACACATGGCGGGGGAGGAGGGAGGGATTGGGACTTTGCATGGCATACAGCAGCAGCAGGCAGCATTGGGTACAGAGGGAAGAATGGCGTGCCGGGTTGCTGAAGCCAGCAGCCAGGCCAGGGTCCAGACTGGTCTAATGGATAAGTATTGCTTGTCACTCCCTGCCTGAGCTGCTGCGGGTGCATAGAGCAGCACACACCAGTACACAAGTGCGGTCCAGAGGGGGTGGGAGAGGGGGCAAGAGGGAGGCGCTGAAGGCCCAGAGACAATGCAGGGAGGCGGGGTTGAGATCATTTTAATGAGCCAAACTCCCTTTTCCCGTCCAGAAGCTCAGCCCAGCCTTCAGTGTGGCTGCACCAGGGGAACCTCTGAGGGCCGAAACCACGTTTCCGCCTCCCCGTGCACACACCAACTTCCACCCCCCCAGCGTCTCCCGCAGCAGCCTCTGCCAGTCGCCCCCCGCCTGCCCACGTGCGCCCCCCCCCCGGGGCTCGCGGCAGGGGACCGGGGCTGAAAATGAAAAACCAAACCAAAAGAGCAAAGTGTTGTTTCAAACATCAGGCCATTTTTTTTCTCATGTCGAGCACATATATACAGACAGACACCATGAGGTTTGCTGAAGGCAACATCTCAGATCAGATCAGAGTGAGATATGGAGGACTGGAAAGCTCTCATAGTCCAGCTGTTCCAGAGTAAGACAACATCGTCAGTAACCCTTTTACACTGTACCCCCTCCCCGCCCCTCCCCCGCCCCACCCCACCCCCCCCCCACCCCTGTGCAGCTAATGTAGTTCTGAAACATAGTCTGTGTTTGCCATGGGTTTTGTTATTTGCATCATCTGGGACCGGGTCAGAGAAGCCACCGTCCACGCGCCGCCTTCGTTCTCTGGTCAAGGGAGTCCCACCGCAGCAGGTGTACCCAGAATCCACTTCAAAGGGAGGTGCTGAAAATGCTCCAGGCCGGGATTTACCTGGGGCCTTGTCCCAGGTGAAAGATGTTACTATCAGTGTCAGTTACAGGTCCTAAAGGGGAGAGGAGGAAAAACCTGGAACTGGATTTCTTTGCCCACTGGCTCCGGGGTAGAGTTCAGAGGGGGAAGGAGAAAAACGTGGAACTGCTTTTATGTGCCCACCTGGAATGGCTCTGGATAGAGTTCCAAGAAGACCCTGGAGCTGGATCTCCGTGCCCATCCGGAATGGCTCTGGTAGAGTGTTGGGGGGAGCAGAAGGGAAGAAGTAGAACCTGGAACTGGCTTCCCACCTGGCCTGTATTCTGGGTGCTCCCCCGTCCCAGGTAAACACTATTGCCCGGGGGAATGGACGCAGATGGGTACATTCTGCACTTTCGTCCTTGCCTTTCCCTGGGGGATCTCGTCGTTGGCAGCCACCGCTGAGACAAGCACCAAGGAGCCTTTGGGGTGACCTGGGCCTGGCGGAGGGGCGACTTCCCGGCAGATGGATTATAACGGCTGCCTCTGCAAAAGAAGCCGAACAGGTTAATGGATCGGCAGCGAAAGGGTTAACTTGCTGCTCTGGGGGGGCCCACCCCCTCCGAGGAGGAGCGAGAATGGTGTCGCCTTCCTGCTGAGCTGGCTGAATTCCAGGCCTGGCTTTGCCAGCACGCGGGGAACAGGGTGGCATGAGACTCCCCGGGTTCACCCTGCGGCTGGCACTGCTCACCTGCGCCGGGCACAGGGCAAAATAACAGCACGCTCCAGCCAGACTGCAGGCCCGTATCTGCAGCCTGTCGGCTCGACAGAGAGAACGGCCACCACCGGGGGGCAGGAGGACTCATCTCTCAGCAACCTGCCCTCCTCTGGCTTGTCCCTTTGGATTCAGAGCCACGCTAGCCATCTGCTGGCTTGCGGGTATCCTGCCCTCCCCAGAGTCTTCCAGAGAAAGGGATGCGTGCACCTCCCCCCGCTGCTGTCCTGTCCTTCCAACGCTGGTGTCCTCTTCGCCATTGGTCCTGTACCAGAGGAACTGCCCTGCACGGCCTGTCCCTCCAGCCTCCGCTATACACTCTGCAACTTCAGCTTAACAAATCCGCTAGTGGGAGCCTATTCGTCTGCGGGGTGCTGTGCATTTCCCCCGGGCCCACAGCCCCGGCTTCCCTCCCTGGGCATCAGCCTGGAGCAGCTACCAGACACATCTGCACATTTCTTCCCACTCATCAGACCAGCTGGTGATGACCTGCCCGGTCTTGTCCCGACCGGATTACAACCGACAGCTGGGCCTGGCCCAACCCGCCCCCCCCCATCCAAACACTCAACCCCCAAGCTGTGGGCACGTTCCCAGTCTGGATCCGGGTTGTGCAGCCCCGACCTCCCGTCTGATTGCCTGTAATAAGGTGCACATGCTGTAGCTGGGGAAGGAGAGAGGCAGGAAGTGCTTTTAGCGCTGATTAAATTATCGGGCCCCCCCGATCAGCATTTGGAAATGAGTTCCTGAGGGAAGACAAAGCCCTTTAGTCCCAGCCCTTCTCCTGTTGCTTTGTGGGGAGGTGGTGGCAGCAGCAGTGACACTCCTCCTCCCGCCCCCCCCGCCTCTTCCCCTCCAATGCTCCCGCTTCAACCTCACTTTGTTCCCTGCCTGCTTACGCCAGGCAGAACAACACCGACAGACGCAAACGGCTCAGGCAGCCCGCGGAGCAGGAATCTAGAGGCAACTTGACTCCATCTCTCTGGGAGCTGGAAGGGAAATCAGGGGGTGCGTTTCCCCAGGAGGGCAACAGACGTCTGGGACGAGTTGCCAGAGGCTGAAGCCAACAGAGCAAGGTGTCTAAAGAGGCTTCAGAGGGAGCTGAGATTTGGGGGCAGGAATGGAGGGCGACACGGCCAGAGTGCAGAGGTGGCTTGAAGGCCAGGCAGGAAGGGCAGGCCGTTGGGTTTGATTCCTGCTCCATAGGGCTGGCCATGAGCTGAGCCCCTGGGCTGGAAGGATGGCAGTGGGGCTACCCCAGCCAGCCCCCACTCCCCTCAGCCTGCTGGGGGCTGTGCAGGGGAACACACAGAATTGCCAGGGCTGTGGCCAGGGAAGCCAGGAGGAGAGGACAGATTCCTGGGTGAGGGGCTCTGGACTCACCTTATGTTTGGGACATTTCAGAGAGAAGTTCTCTTCAGTTAATAAACAACCTGCGAACGGAAAGGAGAGCCCTACTTTAGAGGGTGTGGGTGAGGCAGCTGTGTGTCGTCCCCCCCAGCCTCTCACAACCACCCACCTCCACCCGCCACTAGCCCGCGGACTGAGTGCTCTGAGCTGGGGGCGGTGGTGGAGCTGTGAAGCCTTCTCCCTACCCCTGCTGATTTCCCCTTTGCCACAGGCATTGTCCTGCAGTGGACTGAATGGGACTCACTCTAGTGTCCATAATGGCTCCTCCTCCAGCAGCCAGAGGGGCCGCTCCTGGCTGATGGGAAGCCCAGCTTACGTCAGCCACAGCTAAAGCCCGGCAGGGGCTGTGCCAGGCCCCCCACGGCTCCCCCAGGACTCCTCACCCTCGACCTGCAGCACCCACAGAGCTCTGCCTCAGCTCCTCAGCCTGGACCTGCTCTTAAAGCCCCAGTCCTGCCATTGCCCCTCGGCCCCGAACTCGGGTCTCTCCTGCCAACCGCACTTCGTTGCGCTAAATGAGTGATGGGGTTTGCTGCGGCCATGGTTTTGCCAAAGGGCTAAGCTGAGACTGGCCAAACTTCTTCCCCTGGTGGCTTGAGCGGGATTTGACGCAGGCCGTCCAGAGGGTCGAGTCTGGGGAGATCTTGCTCGGTGGAGCAGGTCCCGCCCCATCCCAACCTGGCACATGTGCCTGGGTGACTGCTGGGGGAGCTGGCGCTAGCTGGGAATAGGGCTGGCAGCAATTCCAGGCCTCTCCTCTCCACGGGAAAGCTCCCAGTACCAGTGGATGTCTGCGAGGCTGACAGTACGGCAGTCCAAGCTGTGAAAGAGGCCGGGGCGGCTCACAGCCTCCTCCGGCTCGACAGCTGCTCCCCGGTGAGGCCGTCAGGAGGACGGGACACAGAGAGACAGGGGATGGGGAAGAACGCTTGTGGCTGCTTTGATTCAAAAGCGCTTTCCCAACACCAGGCCCAACCGTGTGACTCCTGCGGAGATCTACAGGGCTGACTCTGGCCCCTTTACCTTAACTGCTTACTGCCCACATCTCCGTGCAGTGGGGTCCTCCCCCCCGTGGATAAACTGAGGCGCTGCGTGTGGCGGGGACTCAACCCAGTCCCCCAGGGAGCGCATGGCATGGATGGGATCAGAAGTGCCCCCCTCAGCCCAGCACCCCACACTGCTCTCATCCTTTCACTCTCACCCTTCATTCTTTCTTGCCTTTCTCACCCTGCCTTTCTGCATCAAACCCCCTTCTCCCAGCAGCCTCCAGGAGAGGGGTTGGGTGAGCTCTTAACAACTCCCCCAACGGGCATCTTGCTGCCTACAACAAATCTGCGACATGGCAACGAACTTCACAATACTGCAATGCCCTTCCCTGCACAAGTCCCTTGGCCGGGACGAAATCCTCCCTGAAATCTGTGGGGAACAGAGTGAGGCTCCAAGACTGGCCGTGGCAAAGTGCCCAACGGTGCCACGCTGAAATTACCTTTAAGACCCGGCCAGTGGTTTTTGACTGCCACATAAATACCGTCCCATCTCTCTGGCGCACGTGCATGGCAAACTGACACTGGGCGGTAACAAAATCGATTGCAGGGGCGTGCAGAGAATAACACATTTGGTCCTGGCCTGTTAAAAAGGTTTTTCCCTTCTCTGGAGCCTTCCCGATACAGATCACCAGTAACTCTGGCACCATGAACGAATGGGAAGTACCATTATACCCTTTCACAAAGGGGGAAACTAAAACCCAGTGAGATCGAGTAACTTGCCCAAGGACATGCAACAAACCTACGGCAGAGGCAGGCGTAGAATGCAGGAGACCTGACTCCCAGCCCCTCTGTTCTAACCACATAGTGCCACCCTGTGAATGATCACAAATAGGACATAATACAAACTAATTAGACCAGCTGTGGTTCCTGTGAAGGGGGGACTAGGCCCGGAATAGGAGGCGCGCGGGTCAGAACTGGCGGTGCACTGGCAGACCTGCTGAGGGAACTCAGGCCCGGCATGAGGGGCGGAGGGCCGGGTCTGAAGTGCATTGGAGAGCACAGACAAAGCTGGGTGCAATGCGCTGGTGCCTCTCGTTTATGAACCCCCAAATCCCATGGAGCGTTAACGCTCAGAAAGGGGGTCTCCGAGCCAGCCGCAATGGAGGCTTATTCCCCACCTTGTAGAACTCTTCTCATGCACGGGACTTGGGAATCGCGCCAGGAACAACCGAACCCTGGGGAGCAGGAAGTTGAGGTCCTTCAAGCCCTCATGACCCAAATCCCTCCGCTCCTAAGCGAGCCTTACCTGTGTCAATGGCACATGCGTAATGATAGGTTTGGACACATCCCTTGTGGCAGCACCCAACGGTTGCTCCTGCTTGTTGGCAACTAGAGCATCTCTTTAAATCCACCAACGGGGCAGCGGGGGAAAAGAGAGAGAGAATCCAGTGAGGTCCAGCGAAGTAAATCCCAGATACAAGAACTAGCTAGTCCCCTGGCAGCCACGGAAAGGCCAGGAAAAGCTGTCACCTTCACATCCCCACCAGGTTCAGATTCACCCCGTTCCTTCCTCAGCCCCACAAAGCCTGGTTGAGCCCTACTAACGTTCCCACACTCATTCATTTCCCCAGGACGGTGAGGTGTAACCCTTACTGGGGATCTGGCAACAGAGCATGCTTCCATTGCTCCCACTGACTTCAGTGGGCACATGGCTGGTCCCTGGGATAGCACTCCTGCCCCCTTCCTAGCCCCTCCAGTACAGGAACTCTGTCCCAGTTACCACCTTTCCCCCCACAACCACTAACGAGTGAGCCTATGCAATGGACATAGCCTTTAACCCTGTCCTGTCCACGGCCTACCACTGGGTTTTGTTAACCACCCCTTTTCCGGTGACTGGAACCAGAATTGCAGGCCGAAGAACACCGGTAACCAGACCCAAATTTGAACGCTCGGAGGCTGTGGCAACCCTTTATGCTCTAAAAGGGCATTAGCCCAGTGGGGTGTTGGGATGGGGTGGGGCTAATGCAACCCGACTGTGTGTCAGGGGAGGCAACTCCTCTTATTGCGGTGGGACAAAACACTCTTCTGGTGACTGCCCAATGAACTTGCTTGATGTATAACAGGCAAAATACTCTGCCCTTCCTGTTGTCTTCCACCAGAGGATCTCAAAGCAGTTCCCAAATATTCATTAATCCTCACAACCCCCTTGTGGGCTAGGTAAGCGTCGTCCTCTCCATTTTACGGAGGCACCCACAGGTGGAGTGACCTGTTTGAGGCCGGCGAGTGAGTCAGGGACAGAGCTGGGTCTAGAATCCCAGCTCTTCATGTGCTCCAGTCTCCAGCTCGCCCTGCGCTGCGTGCGAAACGTATATGGATTTTGGGGTGTGCACCTCTTTCTGCACCGTTCTGGGAACACGAGCTGTCCCTTACAAGGCCTGGTACAACTCGGAGTCTGTGTACGCTGCACTGCGTCAAACGGCAGTGCTGGAGAACACCCAGCCAGGGGCCTGCAGGTGGAAGGGTCAGGAGAGAGAGGGCACCTTGCACTGTGCAACCTGCAGAGGCCCAGAGGGAAGGATGCATGTGGAGCATAGCCCAGAAGGGGAAGATGAAAACCCTGGAACTGCGGGGAATTGACTGTTTGATCCACTCTCCTCATGCTAACTGATCCCAGTTCCTAGCCATGACATGGGGTTCACTGCGTTAGCATATCCTCGGGCCACATCCGCTCACTCACGCCAGCCCTCGCTCATGCCAGCCTGCTCTACAGCAGAGCTCGAGAGCAGAATTGGCCCTGTGCCTCTCCCCCGTCCTGAGACTCAGCAACTCCAAGGTACATCACTTACAACAGTACAAGCGCGAGGTGCAGGCGAATGGCGGTCCAAGACAAGGGATGGTTGAGCAATCGCTACAGACCCACCCCTGTAGGGGCTTTGCAGCTGGGGACAGAGGGCGAATGGATGTTTAAAATGTTCCAACCCTGATTATTTCATAAAGCTATTTAAATACCAGTAATGACATGCTGTAAAAACACAGCAGAACGCTTTATAACATCCCATTATCTGCACCCAGCGATACCTCTCCACACTCCGAGGGCCAGATCCTCGGCCGTCATCAATCAGGTTCGCTTTGCTGAAGCCAATGGAGCGATGCCGAGTGACACCAGCTGAGGATCTGGCCCTGATTGGCTCTCCTTTGCCCGGCAGGTTCTGATGATGAATTATTACCAGTTCAGTGGCCCCACTGCTGAGCATGGTGCTTCAGAGACACGGAAGAAGGCGCAGAAGAGATCTCTGCCCGGAGAAGCTAATCATCACTCTGCTTTTGAGCTTGTCTATTCTGCTTGTGGAACGGTGTGCGTACAAATGAGCAGACACACTTAGGCACAGGTGTAAATGCGCCCGACAGTGTAAATGGCCCAGGCTGAGGGACAGTCCAATGTGGCATATCCACTGACAGCCTCAAGCTAGTTGGTGTTTTGGGGCACGGCTGCCCCTTTGGTAAAACCATGGATTTATAGACTTTCAGCTGAACAAGGGCCATTATGATCCTCTAGTCTGACCACCTGCATAGCCAAGACCAGACAACATCACCCACTATCCCCTGCATCCAATTTTGACGGATCTAGAGGGTTTTTTTTAAGAAAAACATCAAGTCTCGATTGAAAGGCTTGGAGAAACCATCACATTCCCTAGGTAAATTGTCCCAGTGGTTAATTACCCTCATGGTGCGTCTTACTTGCACTAGATCCTTTTGGCACAGAAAAGAAAAGGGGTAGAAGTGAAGGAAGAAGGGTCCCTTTGCCCTCTACTCTGCCCGTCACTGTGGAATCTGGCCAGGCAGCTTCTGTTTCTTCATCCCATTTCCCCTTCCCCTTCCGTCCCTGTTCCTAGCTAGCATTGCACCTGAGACGCATGCCAAGCCAGCTGCGGTAAAGGTGGAACAGTTTGCTTCCAGCGGATCTCAGAGTCCCCACGGGTGATGGATCTCCACAATTTTATGGGAACATGGAGGGTCACCTTCCCGCATGAAGAAAGCTTAATTTAAGGCCAAAATAGGCATCATGAGTGGGATTTTCAAAGGTGCACATGTCTCACCGAAAGTCAATGGGACTTGTGCAAATACATCACTTGGGTGCTTTTGAGAATCTCGCCCATTGTTTTCAGCTTCTGCCCGGGCCTGATGCGTAATTATAGGATACCTATCGCCAGACAAACCCAATCTATGCCCGTGCATTATTTTTAATTTCCTGGGAGCAACATTTCTTAAGACAATTGGCGGGTTTTCATTGTTGCTCCTCAGGCTTTTTATTAACGCCCCGTTAAGCCTGGCTGTCTAACTGCATCTGTGGTGCTGCTGTTTACTGTGTGTGCAACAGCACCGGAACCGCACGGGGGGCAAGGGCAGGGTGCTATGGGAGACTGTTCCATCGCCCACCGCCCATCCACAGCAGGAATGTAACTAGAGCCGTGGAGGCTGGTGAGGTGAAGGTGAACATGCGAACGTGCCATTTGGAGCCAGTCGACAGCAGCAGGTAATGATCACGTGTCTGACTCAAAACGAGGTAGGTATTGGCTCTTCCTAATAAGACTCGGCTGGTGAATGTTTAAATCCCCTTTTCCTTCCATCTTCCTCTTCTATTTATTAACACAGTGTGAAGTCTGGGGACGCCAAGGAAAGCTCAATACAGGGCCAAACCCTGCAGTCTTTACCCAGGCTGACTTCCCACTGGAGTTGGCAGGATGTGGCCCCAAATGAATACTAAAGACACATGGCTGCTCATTAATTGGTGTTCCGGTTTCCAATGGCTTCCCACCAGGGGGCACGTGGCGTTTCGCTGGTGAAAAGGGCCCTGTGGGGGGTTTTAATTGCCCTATTTGAAAGTCGGCTGTGTTCTATTGGGACGGCTAGAGAACGGGCTCTATTCGGGACGAGCATCGAATGCCCAGAAGAACAGGAACACGTCATGGGGCTCAGTGCAGGGGTAACCGGGTGAAAATGCTCTGGCCTGCGAGATACAGATGATTTAATGGTCCCGTCTGGCCTTAACAGTCTATGAGCCTCTGACAGCGTCCCGCTAGCCTTCAGTCCAATATCAGAAAGGGTCCTCATGGGCCAAACCCCACATTTGCGTGTGGACGTTGTGCTGCATGTCTGTCTAGCTGCTCAACTGCAAAGGCGGATGCAGTCTCTGCGGGCACGTTCAGAGAGGCCCTTTGGGAATCTGGCGCTAAGCACTGCTGGCGTTACCTGTTTGCTCCTGCATTCAAACGGGGGGCACCCAGCGCAGGGGCATTCAGGAGGATGCCCTGCCTAGGCGAGGCGCTAGCTATCCGGAGGGCCTAATCGTGTCAGGTGCAGTGCACCCTTTGCTCCAGCTGAGGGGGCCCGACACCTTGCAGGACGCAACTGCGAGGCACCCGGGCTTGGAAATCCGAGCCTGCCTCTCAGGCACTGGAATGCCTTTCCTAGGATGGCCTCCTAAAGGGCTACACCTCGACTCCCCAGCCAGTGACTGCAAAGAATGTGGTTCGACTTGTTTGGAGGATACAATCCTTATGTCTTATGGTAAGGCTCCCCCCCCCGCCCCACGGACAATCACAACTGTGGGTTTGAGCTGCCCTCTCTGATCTGGGCGATCCCGGACTTTTGCTAACGGGAGGCGGGTGTGTAGGGCTGGTGAGCGGGTGTGCACGTTCCAAATGGCCCTTTAGCCTAAGGAGAGGCTCTTACCACTTCAGCAGCCACCTTTATCGCCTCCTGTAGCCCATACAGCTTCCCTGCAACCAGGTAAACCCCAGCGGTCCATATAGCACAGGCTTCATGAACCCAGTGCTCCTGCGTGTCTCCCACCGACTCCTGAGACGGGGACTCGGCTTTGTTGCACTCGTGCCGTCTGGGCTTCTCTGCCGCCTCCTCTCCCTCTGTCCTCTCATCACAGCAGTAACAGCTTTGTAGTTTCCTAAACATTCCCCTGGAACTCGACCGGAGCGCGCTCTGTTTCGCTGAGTCAGCGGCACTGTCCAGCCTTGGCGGCTTTCCACTGATTGTACTCGTTGTACAATTATTATCTGTCGTTTTGAGCGTTCTCTCTGCCGGCGAAGGCACAGGAGCCTCTTCGCTTGGCCCCTCCACTTTAATCTTTTCTTTCAGCCTCGATTTCTTTTTCGGCAGGCAGTGCTCCGGGTAATACGGCCCACAGAGGTCCCCAAGGTCTTTGTAATTGGCTGGGTTCCGGCAGAGGCAGCAGACCAGACAGGCTGCGTTGAGGGCCTTGGACACCACTGGGCCCAGGTGCATTGTGGAAGATAAAGGCAGCGCCGCTTTGGGCTGCAGGGAGGCCCCGCCGGGAAGCAGGGCCTGGGCCGAGGACGAAGGCTGCTGCTCCTTGTGGAGCCTGGCCTCCTCCCCGGCTGAGTTGATGACGGTGCAGGTGGTGGTGAACTCGTTGTGCTTTTCCACCCGCACGTAGGGGGAGAAGGGCGGCGCTCGGCTGTCCGTCCGCAGCCGCTTGCACGAGATGTACTTGAGCCTGATTTCGGGCTCCGCGGGGTTAAGCAGAGGGGCCTGCTGCCGCCGCCGCCGCTTCGCCCTGCTTTTACACCTGGAGGCCACGTTCTTGGCCTTGCTACGGGTGTGCCGTTTCCTTTGTCTCTTGGAGTAGCCGTTGTAGTTGGAGTGGTTCGCTCGCTGCTTCTGCGCCCGGGTTTGGGTCTGGGAGCTTCTCCCCTCGGGGGGTTCGTTCTTGGCAAAGTCTTTGTCCTCGGTCTTTGGCTTCTTCCCGTCCCTTTGTCCGTCTTCCCCGTTCCCCAGCGCGTCCCCCGCGCCTGCCCGCTCTCTGGCCGTCAGGAGCAGAGCAGGGGCGAGATGCGCACGCCTGTCCAATGGGTTTTTGGCCACGCTGAAGGCTGCTGCTTTCCCTTTTCGGTTCCTCTTCTTGGGCAGCAAGCTGATGCTCTTTGCAGCCATGCTGCTGCTGTTGTACTGCACTGTCTCGGGAGATGAATAGGCCTCACCCTTGAAACAGTCAGAGGACAGTTTCTTACTGTTCATTAGTTTTCCTTTTAAGGATCTGTTGTTCGAATTTCTGCATAATTGCTCTGCTACTGAAGCGGCAGGAGCCTTTTGTGCCATGCCCTGGTTTAATGGCCCCGCTTCTCCCACCGCTGGGGTTACACTTGCATTCTTTAAGGCCCGCTCCTTCTCCGCGCCGGCAGGGCTCAGAGGATTACTGTGTGCAGTAGCGGTGGCAGCGGCCGTTTTGCATGCAAACTTCTTTAAATTCGGCGAGGTGATCTTCTGCACAATGGCCTCCAGCTTGAGGCCCCTGCCTTTCCTCGGGGGCAGCACTTTTGTCTTCATGGCCCCCTGAAACGCTGCCCGAGAGGTGATTTTAATACAAACGTTGGGGGGTTCTTTAGCTGGAGGGGGCGTCAAGGCCGCTTCGCAGGAGCTCTTTGTGGGCAGTTTAGCTCTCGCCTTTTTGGTTGACGGCATCCTTTTAAAGAGATTGGGGGAGGCTTCGGGCTTCTCCTCTTTTGTGCTGCTGCTGCTGCTCCGTAAAACTAAATTTCTCTTTTTGGTAGGGATAGGGGACACGAAGGTGGATTTTCTCTTCAGCGAATGCAGCGGCCGCTCAGACATTTTGCTGCCCATTCCGGGCCCGGATTTGGGGAGTTTCATTCTTTTGCCCACCTTCCCTTCTTTGTGTGGCCCCCCTGGGGGTGTGATCTTGAAGGTGGGGGGTAGATGGTTGTTTGAAAGGAGCTTCTTGGGTGTTTTACAGTTTTTGAGCCTGACCTCTGCCGTCCTCTTCTCCCTTCTCCTTTTCGTATAGACCTCCTGTGTCTTGGTCCTAGATCGCAGGATCATGGATCTCTGGTCCTTCACCTCTGCATCTTGGGGCTCGAGGCCTTTAGCCTTCTGGCCAATAAAGTCCTCGTTCTGCACCAAGTTTGGGACCAGGAGAGAAGTGGGATCGCTGGGATTTTGGACAACTTTTGGGGTCGGTCTTCCGGTGCGTTTCCTGGCTTTGAAAGCAACTCTCTGCTTCATGCCACAAACTGATTTCTTCCCTAACTTTTCTTGATGGGCCAACACCTTCAGTCCTTCCAGTGGGGCTGGCGTCCTGGGTTCACTCAAGGCAGTGAAAGAGCGGGTACACATCCGAGCTGGCAAGCCTTCAGCTGGAAACCTAGGAGTCTGGCCATGGGTATTTTTGCTTGTTGTTTCCATCTCAGCATCTGGCCCTACACATGGATTGGCCACCATGCCAGCTGCCTGGATGTCTTTGAACAGGCTTGGTACTGGTTTGCTGGATTCCTCTCCTTCTGACAACCTGGAATGGACCCTCTTGCTGCGAAGAGTCTTGCCCCTAGAGATTGATTCTGATTTTACCAGCAAATTTTCCGGTAGCATTTGCTTCTTTACCTTGACCGACAAGGTCGTTTCGGTCTCTGTCTTCTCCTGGAGGACGCTTTCACCTACCGTTGTGTCCTCCTCAGGTTTTATGTGAGGCAGGGAAGATTCAAACCAACTTTTCACCTTGGTTTCAGTGCCGACTGCCGGACCTAAGAGGATAACAGACTGTCCAGACAAACGAGAGGAGGGAGCTGAATTTTCTTTCTCCACTGCGCTTACAGTTTCTTCTGCTGATACCGGCACATCCTTGGAGGAGAGCACTGCAGCATTCTCAGGAGGTTTAGGTGGGGATGTATCGTAGATCACAGACTTCTGCTCTGAACTAGCCAGCTCACACAGAGATGAATATTCTTCTGGTTCCAAATCGGACTCCTTCAGATCTGGAGATGATATCATCGGGATTTCACTGAAGTCCCCACCTGAACAGCAGTGCCTGGTATCCTCCAGCCACCTCTCACTATCTGCTTTGGTGGCCTCATCATACGTCAAAGTGTCTTCCTCTTCCTCCCCCATCTGCTGCTGGCTGAAGTCCTCGGCTTGTTCATTCTTGGCTGGCTGTTCGCCGTCACATATATCCATGCAGCAGGCATTTTTTTTCTCTTTGCAAGACCCGGCCAATTTGCTGTGGAACAAACCCTTGGAAAGATCTGACGATTGTAGGCATGGCCCAAGCTCCTTCCACCTCAGGCATGATTCACTGATGCTTTCATCTGGCCAGTCAAAATGCTCCATGGCATTTTCGGAACCTACTGAGTTGGCCGTGGTGTTTGAATAGCAGCTGTAACTGGCGGCCCCAGAACTCGAAGTAGCAGCTGGGATATTGGGTTTGGAATTATATGCCATGGAACTGGTGACTTTAAGAGCATTCTTTGTTTCAGTTGTTGTAAACTCCACCTGGGCATTCTCATAAACCTCTTCGCTGAAATCCTTACTGTTGTTTCCCCCAGAGGCTTTGTCTAATTTCAGGGGTTCGGTGTGGGTACCCGAGTCGCCTTGGTTGGACCAGGTGCTCTTAACCATTGAGTCCAGACACGTTCTGTGATTTTCTATATGGAAAGGGGATTTCGCGGGGTCTTTGTTTAAAGCGGGGGAGTTGGCCCAGGCTTTGTCTGCCTTCTCGTTGATAGCATCCTGTAGCACAATGATTTCGGAAGCCAGTTCCTCCTGAGACAGCGCACTCAGGAGCAGCCTCGGGCACTCCCTTTCATTGGTCATGTACTTGGTGAATGTTTCCAAGGGCAGGTTAGCATGAATACTCTGGAAAGAATCATCGGACTTTGTGGACATGTCGTCTGGAGAAGTCACCGAGCAGGTAGAGACCGACTCGGGCTTGGCCTTGGAGTTGCTGTTGACCCTCGCTGGACTGCGGCTTTGACTGCAATAAAGGAAATTTCTCTCTAGTTGATCTTCAGACCCGCTCAGATAATCGGCATCCTGAGCTTCAGCATGTACTGACTGAGGGGTGCTAAGAGGGTCCGACAGGGGGGTCCCTACCTGCTCGGCAGAGTATGTGCTACTCTCTGGACTGCAGTGTTGGCCTTTTAGCTGTTCTGGTGTCCTAGGAGGGTTTTTGATGCCTTTTTTCTGGGGCACAGCTGATTTTGAAAGGAGAAGCTGCTGGACAGTGTTGGAAATATTCTCGACTTGTGAGGTGAGCGCAGTTAGACTTTGCAAACTGAGATCGGACAGAAGATTTTCAGGGATCTTCTCCTTCTGCAAGTTTTTGCAGTTCCCAGACTGAGCATCTGGACTCGTCCCATCTGTTGGAGAAGGATTCAATAAAGGCATGAAATGGCTGTGGTCAGTGATGCCGGCAGGGAAAGACCCTGAGCTGAGAGATTGCTGGCTGTATTGGAAATTCTCCAGGTTTGGCATCAGAGGAGATGGAGTGGAGCTATAGGATGGAGATCTACCAACAGAACGAGCTGGAGAATGACTTGAGCTAGGACTAAATGTCTGGTAATATTGCTCTGGGGTCCTCACTGGAGCATCAGTCTGGCAATAGGTCTGGCCTGGCTGGTTATAATGTTGGTACTTTGCTAGGTTTTGATAGTGAAGCGTTTCCTGGGCATGATGCCTTCCTTGCAAGGGCTGCTGCTGCTGCTGCTGTTGCGGTTGCTGCTGCTGGTCGTAGCTAATTCGGTTTGCCTGATAGCCATGCAGGTTCTGTACTCGCTGCCCAGATGCTAGGTTAGCAGCACCTCCAAGAGGCCGCTCGTGCTGTTGGCTGGAGGGCGCGGTGCAGCTTTTATAGGAGTGAGCTGCCTGGCTCCCTCCTGGGACGGAGGAGTACGTCGAAGATGCTGGGAACTGGGACTGGGAGTGCTGGGTAAAGTGGCCGGTCTGGGAAAAGGACATGGGTGAGGAGACGTCATTTTGGATCTTCTGCCTTTGCAGCTTGGGATACGTCAAGGCAGGTGGCTGCGGCGGCGGCTGCGGCGGCAGGTGCAAGGAATGAGTTCGGAATGGAAGCTGAGCCGTTTGCTCGTGGTACTGCCGGCTGCCGGCGGGAGCCGGGCTCTTTTTCATCAAGTTTTCCTCATATTTTGCCACTCCTCCGGCTAAGGATTGCTGCTGAGCTCCCCAGGTCTGCAGGCTCTCCTCCCCAGAATAGCGGGCCGGGTACGGGCTGTTCTCTTGGACTGCATAATTCGAAAAGGCCGGCCGGCCTTGCAGCTGCTGGCCGGGCAATTGCTTATTTCCCCTGTGATATTTCTCCACGGCGCTGTTCTCGTACCCTGGGTAAGGCAGCTGCTGCTGACTGTAGTACTCTTTCGCCACCAGCCTCTGACGCTCGCAGTTCGGCCCTGCCTGACTTTGATGCCTGTAATTCTCCAGGCGTGATGTATCTTGTGAAGTCTGCTGGTAGTTCTGCTGGTTGCCATGGAAACCACACCTTTCTCGAAAGGACTGCATGGCTCGGGCTTGTTATCTGTGAAGAGAGAGAGAGAGGATTCAAATGAACCATTTTCTTTTACCTTAGGTTTGGGAGGGGGGGGCGTGTTATATTGTTGTTTGTTTGTTTGTTTAAAAGCCGGTGCGAGATATTAGAGATTTGTGCCTGTATTGCGGCTGTTGTTTTGCAATGCAGGCCTCCCGACTGTGCGCTACAGTCAGACCCACCCCCCACCCCTTAAAGGAAAACAAAACAAAATAAAAACAAAACAAAAATCCCAATGACAATTCCTTTCCCCCCTTCTTTCTCCCTTACCAGCTGCAGTCTATTGACACCCTCTGGTTCAGGAAGACTGAGCCATTCCTGCCAGCCCCAGCATCCCTGTGGGCTCAGATCTGCCAAGGACGGCAACCAATGCAGGCGGCGTCTGGCTGTGGCTTGAATGGTGTTAGGTTGCTCGGTATTTCACGCACCTGTTTTCTCATCCCTCTCTGCCCCTCGAGTGCTGGCAATCACTTAGCAAAACAACCCTCCCTCCTTTCCCCACACCCTCCCTTGGGATTTCAGGATCCTGTAATCCAGTTACAATGCCTCGGGTTTTTTTAAATTATTAATCATTATTGTTGTGTTATTATTTGACCTATCAGCACTGAGGACAGAAACATGGGCTCTGCTATGGAAAGTCATTTCAACTTCCTGGTTCTGCTTCTCTGCGCCCCACCCCTGCCCTCCATCAATAACCTCCTCAATTGGTGTGATACCATCTGGAATCTGTCTGCCCCTTGAAGCAGACGTCTATCAGAAGAGCAGTGAGGCACAGCCATCATAAAACGTCCCTGGTTCCTATCCCCAATTCTGTTAGGAAAGGGCAGTGCCTGCCTCGCGTCTTCCATCGTCTAGGTAGATAAACGGATCACGTGCGGTGAGTGAGACAATGCGAGCTAACGAAAGGGGAAAGGTGTATCAGCATGGACATTAAGGGCCCGATCCTGTGAGGTGCTCAGGGCCAATGGGCATATCGGGGGCGTAGCAAGGAGCAGGCCCCACCAGCGTCTCTCTAACTTGCTTTCCCTGGAGGGGCTCGGGGTGAGGATTTACTGTTGGCTCATCTGCACCCTGCGCAGCACCAGAGTTTACCGAACAGCACCAGTGGTGCATGAAATCCCCTTGGTGAGGGATACGGCTGCCTCTCTCACCCCAAACCACCCTCACAGCTTCCTGGGCCAGGCACGGGTATATTCTCACACTGGAAATCACATGATCTATCCACATCAGAGAAGGATTCTGGTCATGTGGGTTTCCTTCTGACTCCTTCCAGGGGGAGCTAATAAACGCAGTGGGATGTGACCAGAGAGGTCCCTCTAAGGGGATGCGGTCACATCACAGTTAACCCAGGCTCTTACCTGGGGTTTTAGCCCCAACCCCCTACCATCCACACACCATGTGACCTGGGTTTGGAGGTGCTTTAAACCCGGGCTGCCTGACGCAGCTGGGGGTACAGGTGAGAGCGCAGGCTCTGGTATAGCTCGGGCTGAAACATACCCACTTTGCAGCGAGGATGCATGCAAGAGCAAGAGCAGACAGTCCTCCAATGCCTTCCCACAATTCCCCTCCAGTTCTCCCACAACTGACGGAATGGATTGGGAAAGAATCCTGGAGTGTCTCAGCACAAAGAATGTGGGATACTCCCCGGACACACACATGGGTGAGTGGTAGAGACAGTGAGGGCGCAGGGCCATGTGGAGGCTCACACCACCCAGGCTAGACTAACCCCGGGGCCAGTTACCTGGGCTAACTGTGCAGTGAAGACGTCCCCTACAACGGGTAAGAGCTCGTCTGCAGGCCTGTCCCCAGAGATGAAAGGAGGAGGAGACGGAAAGAAAGAGGAATGCCTTAGCCGTGTGCAAATGGGGAGTCCTCCACGTGAGTTAGAAGAGTTGATCTGACTCCCCTGGGAAGCACAAAAGGGAGGAGGCTCCTGGAGGGGACCCACTCGACTGCTCTAACAGTGAGGCAGCATCCCCATTCTTGTTGATTGACTGGCCCTAAACACAAGTACCGTGAATGCTTAGGGGGTCCATATCCTGGCCAGCCAGCCTGCTTTCCCCACCAGGAGTGGTGACAGAAAGGGCCAGTGCCCCATCCTAGGAGCTGGGGTGGGGCACACCATAAGGCCAGCCCGGTTCCTCTTCATACCGCTCCCATTCTCTGAGGAGCAGTCTCTCTCTCTCCCTTCTGTCCTCTCTCTGTGTTTATTAAGGAAATGACTTTAACACGGGGAACGGCCTCTCGCCCTAGTTCCCCACTTCGATTCCAGCTCTGGTTGGTGCATCTAACACATTACACCAGACACCTGCTGAGAGAGTCAAACCAGAGCTGTGCACAGAGGCGGGATTTTTTTCTCTCTCTGTTTTTTGACACGGGCGTCTCTCTCTCGGTGCAGATCTGAGCCGTCACCTGCTCCTTTCGCTAAAGACTTCAGGCTGGCTGTTAAAAACAAACCACCCCCACATAGACCCACACGCGCTCTCCCCCCTGACACATGCAAAACACATGCACATGCATTAAAACGTGTGCACGCATGCACCCCCCACATGCAGTCAGACATGCGTGCACGCCCGATCAAACATGTGCATGCACCCAGACACACAATTTCATTCCAGTCTCGTAACAAGCGCGGACACAAATCCCCATCACAACGGCCCCTGCAGCATGTAGCCCATGAAACAAGGTTACCCCCGCCCCTTTGCACCTTCTCCAGCGCGACCATAAAATCCCCACGTTCCGTGCGGCCCCATCCAGGGAAGGTTACGCCCCCCTCGTTCCGTTGCACCGGGGCGGCATATTTACGAGGCCAGAACGTGCAAAACTCTGCGTGGCTCTAAATGAAGCTGCCTACACCTTTGTCTGTTGAGCCTTGTCTATCTGCACAAATTACATTTCTGCTTTTATTAGTCCCAGATTGCTCTCATTTCCTGCTGAGTGTCCTGTGGATATCATTAACATTTCAGCACCTTTTATTTATTTATTTTGAAAACCGAAGCCTCTGAAATACATGACCAAAAAACGCTATTAGAAGCTCCTAAGAAAGGTGGCATTGCTAATTTCCCCTCTCCCCCCACCCCCAGCACCCCGTTATTCCACTCCCCCTCCCCTAGAATGGAATGCTGGCGCCGCTTAATTCAGCTCTTCTCTATTACAGCTGGATTTCCCAATACGCACCAGCAGCTGGATGCGGTTAAAGCATATATCTCGGAGAAAAGACAGTTCGATTAAAATATGGTGAACCTTGTGCTCAAGTCACCCGACGCAGAAATCGTGGCTTAACTTTCCCCCGTCCCACCAAAGGGGCTAGGGGGGAAGGAATCGGAGAACAAAAGAACACAAATGAAAGAGAGGCCCTGGGGGCACGGGGGGGGGGGGAGAAAACAAAAGGGTGGAAAGGGCCCAAAAGCTACACAAGGAAGTGGGTTTGAAAAATGAAAGCAGCTTGAAAAAACACTGAGCTGTTGCTTTAATGGAAGACTCCTTCCTTTCTCTTTGATTATTAATTATTATTACTTTTCCAAAGAGCCCAGGCAACGCCAGGCTGAGATAATGACACCGTTTGGCTGTGGGGGAAGGAGGGACGTGACATTAGCACAGAAAGAGGGGAATGAACCCGGGGAGATGGCGAGGGAAGGATCCAATTAGAATCAAAGCGGGTTTGGGTCACGGTGACATTTCCACTGAACTGATCCCCGGCTGGAAATGCACCAGGCTGGATGAGGATCCTCGCGTGAGGGACGCTACCTCTCCGGATTTGTCCCTTACCCGCCAACCTCCAAAAGCAATAGTCTGTGAAGCCCCTGGAGCCAGCGAGGAAAGAGAAGGCCTGGAGCAGCCTAGCAGTGGGAACTGATTAGCAATGGGGAATGTGACAACTGATGACAGCAGCAGCCTCCTGACAATAGCTCCTTCAACAATTGATGGCCCTGACTATCTATGCCTCCCAGACTGTAGGCTCCCCTCCCCCAGCCCCATACATTGGCCAACACTGAGCATTAATGGTCCCATCTATCTCTGATGTAACTCCTTGGATTTCCACGGGGACCCCTAACTCCTTTGATACTCACACAGTAGTATTAGGCCCTGTTTGTATTATGCAACATGTTGGTAGCACAACTGGGTTGAAACCCACTTTGGTTCAGCAGTGCAGATAGAGCCGACTTTTGCTACAGATACTAAGCTAAAACCTGGCTTTCAAAACCTGGTTATAAACCCACCTGGGCCCATCCACTCCGGCTGCGCAAACCACATGATCGCGCAGGTCAGCCACACAGCCGAAGTCAGCGAAATGGGGTTGTTTCGCCGGTTAGCCAGGCCCTTCAAGCCGGTGCAGCAGCATGCAGCATTCCAGGTCAGCGCGCCCTGCTGCACCACAGCCGGGGAGAGGGTTGTGTCAGGGTGACACAAATACCGTACGGCTTCATGCCATAAAGCGCCTTCCCTCACTCTCCCCTGGACTGAAAGAATCCAAATGCAGAGATAAGCGACAGCAGGGGGGAGAGGCGGATTCAGAGTTATGGGCAAGGGAGAAAGCTGCTTTCAGAGGAGACCTGAAAAGGGAGCGAGTCAATGAGGCCGAGATGATAAAAAGCGGCTGTTGCCGAGACTGTGCGAGGGGACAGGGAGGAGGCTGCACTGTATGAGGGTTGGAGCAGGGACGGGGCTAGAAAGGGGGTGGGGTCTGCGATACTGGCTACAGCAAAACCATGGAGGGGTTTAAAAACAAGGCCGATGAGCTGGTTCAGGTCACTGGGAGTTTCGCCCCCGACTTCGGCAGGAGCAGGATTTAGCCCCAGGGGAAGCGAGGCAAATAAAATCGACAGAAGCCGTGGGCCAAAGCCGTGGGCGGATTTCCTCCTGAGTACGTCTCAGGGGGAGCCCATCAGCACAAGGAAAACACCCACACAATCCTGGATATTCCCCCTGGGTCCTCTGCTCCGCTTGTTACATACAAGGCTGCATTCTGCTCTCTGTTACCTGGGAC